TGCAAAACACATAAAATCATTAACTACTTCAGTTCTGTCAGAATACAAAACACTGGGCCTGGATTGAAACACAAGCATGACATACCTTGCTCAAATGACATACCAGAATTTGGTTTCTCCTGTTTGCTTACAGACTCTAGCCCTCATATTTGCAAGGAAAAAAAAAAAATCAAACAGATCTAGGTTAACATCGTCTTTGCTACCTGTAACAGTAGATCTGAGAGGTATGAATTTCCCCAGAGGTCTTGGTCAAGGTGTGGGAAGGTATTGACTGCAAAGGTGACTCCTCTAATTGCCTTTCATCTCTCCAAATTGGATAAAGAGACCCTAATACCATTCCAGAGGAGAAGGAGGCCTGTGGTCTTACATTACTGAGAGAGGGTAAGGACCTCTGTCCCCATCACTTGAACTTGGGCAGGGAGGAGTGTGATACCATAAAACAGGGGAGCTACAGGCACTCTAGTACTATGGGATCTCATGCCTGCACCTCCTACTTCTGTTTTCTAATACAAGAAAATAATGCTTTTTGTGGGTCAAGTAGGTTGTCCAGAAATTATTAGACTTCACTTTGTCTTAGCTTTTTTTTAAAAAAAAATCCCACTGCACATAAGCTATGTACATCAAAGGCTTTTGGAATGCTTTACAAAGACTAATGCATTATTAAGCTAGCAATCCCCTACAGATGGGAAGATGCAAGTAGAGAGAGGATAATAATTTGCTAAGGGCTACATATTGTGTCAGTGGCAGCGTTAGGAATACAGTTTGTGTGTTTTTAACTATGTCTCTCAGGTGATATCCATGGAATTGGGCAAAAGTATTAGTTCAAAATCAATTGTACAGCTTGAAATACGGCACTGCATTCTGCTTTTAGTCTGAGAAAACCCTTGAAATGAAGAAGAACATAATGCTGCAGAATTGCAATACCATTCTTCAGTCTGCATACAAAAAGTTCCTCAAGACCTCTGTTTTTGAGCAGGTAAATGTCAGGAAAAGAAGTAGCCAAATTTTGAACATGTTAAAACAAATCCACCTGAACATCCAAAATACAATGAAAATTAGTGATTCAGTATTCAAGTACAAGGCAGCAGAAAATCTTAGAGGCAGATTATGAGATACTGTAACATGGAAAAAGAGACCTAAAGGAGAGATTTTTAAGGAGCTAAGATAAAGGCAATGCTAGACTTACCTGCGGAATATAAAAACTAGGGCAAAATGAAAATTTGAAAGTATGAATTTCCATTCTCCCCTCTTAAAAACAAAACAAAAAACCCAAACAGTCCTTCCCAGTTTGTAGCTGAGAAGCTAAGTCAAGTCATTAGTTCCTCATCTCCTTTCCCATGTCTGTTCTGTATTCGCAGCTGTCCTGGGTTACCACAGATACTAGGTAAATGATGAATGGTCCTGCTGCAATGTTGTATCTTTTATAAGCATCGCAGCTCCATGTAACATTAATTAAGCCAACATACTTGTGTCCAATTTGCTTAAAGTTCTTACAACTCATATTTTCAGCATGTTTTTCTATCTGTATTCAACTGCTTCAGCAAACAGCGAACAATTCTGTTTAAAAGTCCAGAGTATGTTGGAGAATGAGCCATTTCATTATTACAGCCTGGAGTTTTTGAGACTTGTATTGCATATTTTGAACCTTAGTGGCTTTCTTACCCATCTAATTCACATTCTTAAAATATTCCAGTTAAATTCTTTAAATATTTTTAATGCCTAAATATACACGCAGTGCCTCCCCCAATTAGATTGGAAGTGTAATTGCTGTACAGTGTGGTGTGTACATGCACTCAAATTGGAATTTATATTGACTGGCGAGTATAATTAGATTTCACCATTGCATTTAATTTTAGAATAAACCATATTTATTTCCCTTACACTAGATTCAGGAAATAAATTATAGTTGAAGCAATCAGATTTTTCCAGGCTTCTCTAATTTTCAGTCTAAATTCATTTGGTATTTCAGATTCTTCTGCAAAGTGCAGCAGTTATTTAGACCCAATACATCAGAGAAAGTTTTCATGTTTGATTGCTATTTCTGAGGGGCTGTTGGGGAACAGGAGTCTTTAAGCACAGATGGCCATGCTGGTAGCATTTAAGCCAGGGTCTCTCTTGGAGAACCCAGGACCAGTCTAATCGTGTGGTGGGAGGCTTTATTAGAATTATCTGCCATTATTAGTACTAACATGAACCTAATTTTCATAGCACAGACAAGACTTAAAGGAGAGCCTGACAGCACTGACTTGTTTCAAGCAGCAGGATTGGCAGATATAGCCAAATTCTCTGTTAATTTAAGTAAGTGTAAATGCAGTGAAGTCACTGTAGTGAATACCACATACATCTTTGGCCATGATACATGATGTATCCAATCACACTGTACTTGCCTTCATTTTAACTTCTTAATTACACAGGATGGACCCATGGCTTGCCCAGTGCAGATGGGACAGGGTATAAATCAAAAGGCATATAAATAGATGCAGGGACAGGGAAGGAGTTCAGCAACGCACATGCCTTAAAAAGTAGTAACACTGCTCACTCCCAGATGACTGCTGATGAATATGTGGGAAGTAAGGTGCAGTACCAAGATGTGGCTAAATGTACAAGGATTTGTATCCAATGGGATTTAAAAAGATAAACTAAATATGGAAGTTTTGAAGTAAACCATGCAAATGTAACTCAGCTTTGAGATCAGAAAATGATTAGTATTTGCTATGAATAAAAGGTCCGTCTGTAATTTGAAATCGATTAACTAAAGAGATTTTTTTAAGGTCAATGGACTAACAGTAATTTCTGGTGACAGTGAAATGTTTTCTCCATTCCAGCATATAATGCTGACAATATTCTAGTTACTGTAACTCAGATGTGAGATTTTTAGAAATGTTGAGTGTAGTGAAGGCAGCGCTTTGGTGGTAGGACCAAAATACAATTTTAAACTAGATTTTTTTTTTTTAAGAAAACCTCTTCTGTAATACCACACATAAAGTTTAGTAGAACTGAATTTGAGAGCAACTGACAGATCTGCCTGCATGTTCTTGCATGCAGATTTTGTACTCCAGGGACCAGTGTAATTTGCAGTTGGGAAGCTTCTTTTAGGATTTTGATCTCCACCCCAGAAAACAGAGTGGCAATCCTGAGCAGGATCTAACTATATTCAGTAGTAGAAGTGAAACATAAAAGAGATGCTTAAAAAAAGAATTGAATGTTGAATAGTTTCAAGTTGCTGTTGTGAAGTTCTTAAAGTTATTTCTGCTTTCCATGATGAACGTCCACAGATGTGGAAAAGACACGGTTACTGTTTTTTTCTTTTGACTCAGGATAGGAGCCTGACACTAGAAGGGAAACACCTAATCTTCAGAAAGGCCTGAAATGTTGTAGTTTCACAGTAGTGTCAGTTACTGTGGTTGTGAAATTGGGAGCCCATATTTACAGCTAAGCATGCTCTAGCTAATTGACAAAACTGAAGAGCATACAAGACTGGCAGTAGAGTATATAATCAAAATGGCACATGAGAATACCGATTACAAATAAGAATATTATATAAATAGACACCAAAGAGTACTGGCCAGTGGTCACCTCACTGCTAGTGCAGAGTCTCCTCCAGTGCTTGTCTTTTCTCCATTTCATGATGAGGGTAATGGTCCTCTTCCCATAGCTGTTGACTTCCAAATGAAAAGATGGGTCTAGCAGAAACTGTTCTGAGGAAGTTCTCACACGTTTTCTGAAATTCTAGTGACACTATATTTAAAACTTAACAATCAATGAAGGGCTTTTTTGAGGGTGCAACTATAGGTTAATAATCTGGTAATGTGACTGTTGCCAAGGAGATGAAAATTTAATTTTCTGGCTTGTCTGAAACGTGGAGTTGAATTACATTTCTGTCTCTACATTTAATGAACAAATCATTCCAATATTTGTGAGATTTAATTAAGATGGGGAGCTTACATGGGGAAGAGGGAGGCTGCTGCAGCAGCCATAATAAACTGGTGTTTATTGTGGAAGTATAAACCCGGCATTCTTCACTGTCTCTGCAATGCCAGGGCTCAGTCTTAGTTATCTATGTTAAAAAAGAAAAAAAAAAAGTAATGTAGGAATGATAAGGCATTGTTTCACTGCCATAGACCAAAGGAAGCCTTGCAGAGAGAAGCTGGGGCATGTTGCCTCCTGCTCTTAGCTAAAAAATAGGGCAAAATCCACTTTCTCTCTTGCTAGAGAGAGCTCTGTTTTACAATAGGGACAATGCTCCTAGGTACCTCTGTTGCCACAGTATTGTATGCCCTGGCTATGGCTCTAAATGACCCAAATAAGAATCTTTTCACACTAACTTTCCCCCAAAAAGGGCATTAATGTTCCCCTGATAGTGTTCTTGATCCTTAATTTCTGTTCCTTCCCACTCTTTGCTGGGCTTGCTTACAGAAAGCAGAGTCTGGACAGAAGAGGTCCCTTCTGATCCTTACTTTGTCTGATCACTAGCAACAGGACAGTAAGGTTTCTAAGAGACAGAAAGAAAATTCTAAGGAGAGCTTTAAATATCACCTCTACGTACAATCCAAAAGAGAACATTTAAGTGCATTAAATAGCCTTAATCTAGCCTAGCTTTGTATCACCTGTATAACCTATAGCAGCCACATCTGCTTATTTCTTTTTGGTTAAACAAATGCTAAACTTTGATCTGCAAGTATGTTTGAGCCATAAGCCTTTTTTTTTTCTTTAAGTGAAAACTTTTTAAAAGGTAGTCTTCTGTATATTCTTGTACAGAAGTAAGTTTCTATCAGCATTAACACACTTTTTGAAATATTTATGTTCACATATAGTTACCCTCATATGCAGATTTTGCTCTAACAGCCACACTAACTAACCTGGAATAGTTGTAAACATTCAAAAAGTTTGCCTCAACAAAATTCCTGAAATGCAAATACAGTTTCTGAGTGTAACTGTTAAAATTAACAAAATACAAGCAACAATTTAATATTGCAGATAACAGAATTTTTCTTTCTCAGGAAGACTATGATCGTCTGAGACCTTTATCTTATCCTATGACCGATGTCTTCCTTATCTGCTTCTCAGTGGTAAACCCTGCTTCATTTCAAAATGTGAAGGAAGAGTGGGTACCGGAGTTGAAGGAATATGCACCTAATGTTCCCTTTTTACTAGTAGGAACACAGGTATATCTGGTTCTGTTCTACTTTATTTAAACAATTCAGATCATTGTATGGTGCCTTTTCTTTGGGCTGGAAGTTCAGGCCCAACAGGACCTGAGCTGCACCTCCTCCTGGCTTTGGAAGAATGACCCTAACAAGTGGCAGAAAAACCTAGATCTCTGTTGTTCTCTAATGAGCTACCTCTATTTTGTTACAATAGATTCACTGTAAACAGGGTGGCAAGATTGGCTACATCTCTCTGTGTGACTTTATAGAAAGTAATGGGAATAAAATTGTCTGTTCCTACCCATGTTACTGGAATTACTTGGGTCTACAACTGTTGGTCATATCCAGTACCTGCTGAAGCAAAGGAGCAAGGGGAGAAGTGAGACAATTTCCTCTTGCTTCTTGTGGGCAGTGGACTGGGCTTCAATTACAAAGTGACCCACATGTTGGTATTACGTTTGGGTTAATCTTTCTGCCACTGCTGGATATACATTCTGGTATCCCGAGATGATCACATCTAATTGAAGAGCTGAATTACAAAATAAATGTATGTTCCTTCTGGATTAAAGGTAGTAGTTCACAGCTTAAATTTCCAGGTCTTTTGGATCAGGAAGGGTCCATGATCTGAGTCATGATGTAACTCCATTCTTATACATGTAATATTCCATTAAATTATTCTGCTTTAAAAAGAGGGTATCATATAGCCTGCTGACTTTCGTTTAGAAAAAGTATTCCAACATAACTGCAATCTTTCTTGCTAGATTGATCTTCGTGATGATCCAAAAACTTTGGCAAGACTGAACGATATGAAAGAGAAGCCCGTATCTGTGGAGCAAGGACAGAAGTTAGCAAAAGAGGTAAACCGGACACTCCTAAATGAAACCAATTAGCAAAGAAGCAAAAAACCCTATTTCCAATTGACTTTTTCTTCCTTTACTACTTTGCCCATTTCTTTTACCAGTCAACGTATGAAACCTTATGACTGGTTACCAGTTAACAATATTTACTTACACTGTTGAATACAGCTAACAAGCAGACCTGTGTAATAGTACTTCCCTGTTAGTAATAGTTCTAACTTTCTGTGTAGACACTTGTAAAAACTACATAAGCATTAGTCAGAGAGAATTAAAATCATGGAATGGTTGAGGTTGGAAGAGACCTCTTCTGCTCAAGCAAAGTGTTGGGAGCATCTTCAAGAAATTATTTGAGAATGCTGTACTACCATTTTAACACACTGCGTGGATAATGCTTATCAGGACACTTATTTATAGAGTCTTATTTTTGAAACATAAATTGGTCATGTAATTCTGTAATTCTTTTTTGCTGTTCAATTATCAAAAATACCTTAGGACCCCACTGCTAATCCAAAGAGCTTGTTTAATATGCTTCCTTTATAAATGAAACAACTTAAATACATTCCAGATCTTTGGCCAAAAGACAAACCTTCTTTTCTCCCACGGGGGGATGCACATGCAGATAATTTTTCTAGATCACAGCCAAACATTGTGATGTCACTATAGAAAAAAACCAAAAATGCAGAAGTGCACAGATAGAACTGAACATCTAAAATACATTACTATTGAATTAACTTATTTTCTTGACAGATAGGGGCCTACTGCTATGTGGAGTGTTCAGCTTTAACACAGAAAGGACTGAAGACCGTTTTTGATGAAGCTATTATAGCGATCCTAACTCCAAAGAAACACACAGTGAAGAAGAGAATAGGCTCAAGATGCATAAACTGCTGTTTGATCACGTGAGATATATTTGGCAATGGCCAGACTTACTGTGAAATTCTGCTGAATTTAAATACAATGCATTAAGTACACAGCAAAGTTCTTACAGGTCTGAAAGCTAAAACTACATTTCTGCCTTCTACAACCAGTGAAATCCAGAGGAATAAAATCAAACTCAATGAACTTGTAATAAGAAGCCACCACATCTGTTAGAAATATTTTATTCAGACTGGAAGGTACAATCTCTCAGGGTTACATAGTCTAGAGGAAGCAAAAACTGCACCATGCTGAAACAGCATCTGTGTGATTTTATTGAGTGGAGATGCTTGGTCTGAAATACTCTAAATGAATTTGGATAGTCTTCTGCTTTGACTATACATATATCTCTCTCTCTTAAAAAAAACAACTTTTGCACAGTCTGTATGGAATCTGCACAAAGAAATACCTTGTCTCTCTCTTAGCTCCAGTTATCTGCTTTTGTATGTAAGCTGCTTCCGGTTCCAGTGTATCCACAAAGGTGCAATAATCAGACCAGCCATATATCCAAAGGTAGCTCCGAGGGAACAGGAAATGGGCCATACCTGAGGGGAGAACACAAGGTAAAAGCAGGCAATGAGGAAAATGTTTGTGGTTTTTTGTACTTCGTGAGCACAAATTCTCAGTGTAATCTAGGTACTAAAAGACAGTACAGTCTTATTCTACTTTAAAGCTTGACGTGCTTTCCTAAAAATGCCAAAAGTGTAAACAATCATCTTCATGAACACTAAATGCTGTTGTACAGGTTTTAATTAATATGCATTAAAATGTAACCAGGCTTCTGGCTATTGCAGACTTTAGTTCGATATTCCCAAAACTGTGCGAAAAAACTTACAAGTATTTATATTCCCTGAAGTGTTCAGCTAATCTAACTTCCTGTTCTGCTGCACACGTTTGGAAATCTACAGATTTCTTGGCAATTTCTCCTTCCAATCTCCCATGGTGTTCTGAAACTTTCAGAGGTGTGTATAAATGAATATCCCAATAAGGCCAGAGACTGAGGTGGATAGAGGGTTTTTCTTTCATTTTTTGTCTTGAAAAGTAGGCAAACAGATGAATTTCCCTCCGGCTAGCAGTAGGGAAGGAACACAAATTTGGAAACTGACTGAACATCTTGCACCCAGTTCAGCAAACATAGTAAGCCAAGTTATGCTAAAGAGAGCTTATAATTAAAGCTTTATGTCCTAGTATAAGAACAGGGAACTGACTCAATACAGCTGACTCACTTTAACAAACCGCCTAGTACTGAGGCAAAGTAGTAATGGGATTCTCCCCCTGCCCCCTTTTATTTTTAAAATTGGTATTAATTTGCAGGGAGGATTGGCCAAAACAAAACTTAACCAGTCTGTCCTCAGATGTAGCTTATATTACCAGTCAACTGTGTACTGCATTTGATGAAAGTCTCAACTAAGTTAGTGATTAAAAATATTTATTGTAGAATAAACTGAATTCCCATCCCTCTTCAAAATTCTCCTTTGCATATTTTTTTTGCAAGGACAATTTTGCACTTCCTGCTGTACAGTGCACGTTCCTGAAGCAAGTACAGACTGCACTCTCCTATTTTTTTAAGTTTTAAATTAAGGGGGATATTTCCACCTTCTGTCGTACTTGAGACTGAGAAATGCACTAGACATTAAAGAAAATATCCGCATCTCTGTGTCCAGCCTTCTTTTCTACTTCATTTTGACTTGCAATTCATGAATATTGAATGAACTTACTCTTAATGGTACTGGTTCCTCCTAGCTCTGATTCTTCTCTTTACTTCATTATCACTTGGAAAAACATATTTATTCACATCCTTTGATCATGAGAATTTTAACTAGGAATAAGAGTAACGTATTTTGTCCTCTGCTGTTTCATCTTCACAGTCTCCTCAGTTGTTTCATCTTCACATTCCTTAGCATTTGCAGTTTTATATATTATTTGGAGGTCTTAAGGAGTGTAGCAAAGATGACTATAAACAAGGTGCCTTAGGTACTCTTTATTGACCTTGTTTCATTCTTCCATTTCTGGACATTCTGTCTCTGCTACTTGTTTTTGTTGCTGAATATTTTGGCTGTTGCCTCTCAAACCAAAGACTTGCTTGTTTTCATTCATTTAACAGTGGTATTGTAGATCTTCTACAAAAAGCCTTGAGAACCTTTGGCATGGTAAGACACTATGTGTATTTAAAACTCACATGAGTTTGTGGCCTTGGCTAAACCTACACTTCAGGTGGATCTTTTCAACTTTTAGATGAAATGTAATTAAGTTATTTCTAGCATTTTGCATATTACACGTCTAAAGGACAAAACAAAAAAGTCCCTGCAACCCCAGCTGCTTATTCAGTAATGTTCAGTTGGAACAGGAGCCGTACTTTCTTATCCACTGGTGAAGTCAAATACCACTCTAATAGCTATAAAACTATGGACAGAGGGTTCATAACTCAGTGGTCTTTTTATATCAAATTCTCTGAGTGATCAATGATCCTTCATTAAATTTTACCTACATTAGGTGAATCTGTAGTTGCCTATTTGCTTTTCAGAAGCATAGGTAGATGTTGGACTCTGAATTTTTCATGTTCCCTTAACTAGAGAGTCAATATCCCTGATGACCCATTGACCCTGTACCTTTTGGTATTTTGTGTATAGTGGGTGACTGCTGGTATGATTAAAAGGATCTCTGATGATTGTTGTAGCTTCTTTTACCAGACTGAACTGCAACTTGGAACATGGTTTTTCAATAGTTATGTAACTTTCAATATTAATTATGCCTCTGTCTGTCTTCCAAAGCATTCAATTTTTGCTTTGCTTTTTAAAAAAAGTGTTACCTTACAGAAGTTTCAGGCTGTCTCTCACTTAACACATGAGCCTCTGACCTCTGAAATCCAACCCTCACCAATGGCAGTTGGCAAAGATACGGGGCAAAGCAAAGAAACCATAAAACACTTCATCTCACTGTCTATGAATGAGACAGAAAAGAAACACCACCTCATCCCTTCTAGTGGCATAGAACAGAAAGGTACTAGGCCAGGTACTCATCATGCTGGTCAGATGGCCCAAAGTAGTTCTGAAGGCAGTTTGATTGGCCTTTTGAAAACTCCCTAAGCACAGGAATTAAAAGCCTGGACTTAAGAGCGTTGCTGTCCTTATGCTATTTTCTCTAACCCTCAAGGCAGGGCAAAAAAGATCCTAACAAACAGGTAATGATACTAGTTCTGCACCTTTTATTTTTGACTGCTGGCCTTTGGGCTACATATAGCCAGATGCACCACCGATGGGTGTATCTAAAGCAGCAAGTTATCAAAGATAGATAAGATGTGGCTCTTAAGCACATCAGCTGCACTAATGTAATAGCCCTTGCAATAGCCCTTTTGTCTATCTATGAAAGTGGGTTGCTTTATTTTGCATTAACTACTGGCCTCGTTTTTCTGAGGCCTGATCACTTTCCACTGGACCTTTTTAAATGAATTTGACTTGCTTGATCAGTCTGCTTTACCCTGTCTTTCATATTATCTCTTAAACTTGGTTTAGCTTCCCTGACTTGGTATGAACTGCCTCTAAGTGATAAAAATCTAAGCAGTTAATATCCATCTGCCTGTTCTAAGCGATTCCATTCTGCTTGTATTACAAGTATGCAACTTGTAATACACCACTCACCCCCTGAGAACTATTCAGCTCAGTTTCTCCTACTTTATGCTCCCTTCTGCCGTGAGGAAGCTGACATATCCTATCCCAGTATTGATGTCACGTCTAGGCTGGGTCAGCAGCAGGGGAATAAGATGTTAGGCAACATTGCCTAACTGCACTTCTTCTAAGGGGGAAGAAGATTATCTGGAGAGAAAAGTGTGGGGAGTGCAAGACACAGGACAGAGCATTCTTCAGGAAACTGTCATGAAATGCTTTGTCTGTCTCAGCAGCTGGGAAGCATCAGCTACCATCCTCATAGCCTAGTACAAGAAGAGTCAGTTTACGTATCAAATGCAAGCAGAAAAAGGCAATTTTAACAACCTGTATATGATTACTAGAAATCTGAACAGCAGCTTGGCAAAAACAAATCTCCACCTACATGCTTAACAAGCAAAAAAATTGCATTTTAAGGGACAGAGCATGAGCCAGTGGTTAATGCAAAACAGTCCTGACTTCTACTATTTGTTTAAATTTTCTTTTTGCCTTTTCATCTGGCAGCAGTGATAGGACTTAGCTGGCTAAATAGACACTGCAGAACTGCCAGGTTTCTAGTATACGTTAGAATTCATTTTAAGAATAAGGACTCAAAATAGGAATTGCCAACCTTTCAGGACACAAATGAGCTACTTTCCTGAGTGCTTTTTAGAAGACCTATAAGCTAATGTGAGAATGCTTAGCATATTGCATGGAAAGCAGAGCATGTTGCAGGAGCCCAGCAAGGTACCTAGCTCTGCTCTACTATGCATGTAGCTAGTTAAACCACAATTCTGACTGCGTGACAGTTTTGTCATCTGTTACAAGTCTGTAACTTGCATCCTGTGTAATAGGAATTACATAGACATTGATAAGGACATACGCCAGATTCTTAAAGGCCAGAGCAGCAACACCCTAGTAAAGTTTTTAAAGATACTATAAAGTAAGCAGCTGACTGCTGGAACTTTTAATTATACAAATGCAAATACAGTGGGGCAATCTACGGTACTTTTTGTTTGTTTGTTTTCTTTAGATGAGTGCTTTCCTCATATTCTTAAACTCAGTTTTTTTGTATGCTTACTATTTCAAACGATCCATTTCTGACTGTCAATTAGAAAGCTATGTATTAATTTGTTTCATTTTAAAACTGAATAAATGAGCACAATTACTTTCCCTTCCTGTTTCTAACATGCCTTAAATTCCTGATTGTTTAGTCTGTACTGTCTTAAAAATTTCAGTACAAGCCTTTAATCTATTTTGGTTGCATGCACGTGTTAACTAAAAGTGTCTTATCACACTACAGAATGTGTGTGTTGACAAGCACATGCTGAGGAGAAGAAAGTGTGAGTTTTTTTTCAGGCTGGCATTTGTAACCAGAAGTTGTTTTTGTGGATTTGTGTTCTAAAGTTATAGCAAGCATAACTGCCTTTGATCTCACTATTAAGGTTTACATTAAGAAAACATATCATTAAATAAACAATGATAACCACACTGAAGTGGAACAAACTTATACCTCAGTTTAAAAAAACTTAAACCACTGGGTATTATATCCCCTTTACTCACATAAAGCAACTTCTTTTACAACAAAACTTTCACAATAGGTAGTAGATCGAAAAGGAAATACAAGAAGGGAACTCTCTGACCTGTGTTAAGAATAACAAAGTACTATGAAAGTTTATAGTCCTATTTCAGCTTACTCAAGTAACCACCAAGAACTGTATCCAAGATTCTCCAGATTATTTTTCAGGTTACAAATATCTGAGAGGTACCTAGGTTAATATTTACAGTCATATTGGCTAAATTACATGACAAGTCAATCAACTCATTTGAGTTACATCAGCACTACCTATTATGTTTGTGGTATCTAGTATAAAGTGGGAATACATCAATTTCACTTTTACCTA